CTCCTACTCCAGCTCAGGGGAGTACATAGCACAAATCATGCTTTCCCTTCCAAAGGTGGAATGAAGGTTCTTGTGTTCTCTAGGAGTAATCGAAGCCTGAAGTTCCCTCTCTGCCTGGGCCTGTTTAGGTCTCTCCATGGCCATGTGCTAAAGATATTGACCATCCATGCCTCCAACACAATTACAGCATGGAGTAGTGGAACCAACTCAGTGCAGTCCCTAATAATGCCACTGTCCATTTCTGGAGGCTGTTAACTGGTCTTCTTTGCCCACTGAGGTGCTGAGATACCACTGGTGTTGGAGTGATTCATCTTTGATTGAATCTATCTAGAACAGTAGTTCCCAATTTTTGGTTCTCAAGGTGTTTTGGACTTTTGGACTTCAGCTCCCACAATTCTTAACAGCTGGTAAGATTGCTGGGATTCTGGAAGTTGAAGTCTAAAACACCTGGAAGAACAAAGGTTGGGAACCACTGTTCTAGAAAGTGTTTTTCCTCTTTTCCTCCTGCCTTCTACCTTGCCAAAGGGACAGGATAAGCAACCTTGCTAGATTCAGAACTGAGTGAAAGGTAAGCCTTGGTACTATAAGGACTCAAAGAGAAGGAGGCAGCTGTAAATCCATAGATGTCCACCCCCAGAGAGTCTCTGCAAACTGCAGCAAATCAATGAAGCTTGGAAAGTATAACAAGCTACTACTCTGTTAACTTTGCCAGATCTGTGCACCCACACAGCTATTTCCTTTTTGCCTGAAGCTGAGCCCACAAAAACTGGAGAATCTGCAGCCACATCTCTCACCTACAGAATGCCACTAAAGGTATAGCAACCCTAGTTTGGACCCTACTAGGCAGTTTTAGGATTAAGAGATGATTGATTATTAACACAGGAACGGAACAGGAAGGGACTTTCTAGATCTTCTTGCAAAAAGACCCCTCCTGCATCTCAAATAACCAGAAGGTATGTGCAGGGGCGGCTCAACCCATTACGCAAAGTAAGCGTTTGCAGTATAGTTGATTTTGCCCAGGGGCGCTCTTGAGGCACTCTTGGGAAAAAATAGACCTTGACATATGCGAGTTGTAGTTTCTGGGATGTATAGTTCACCTACAATAAAAGAGCATTCTGAACTCCACCAATGATGGAATTGAACCAAATATTGCACACAGAACTCCCACGACGAACAGAAAAAATATATATCAGTGATTGGTTGGGGGGATGGGCGTGCCAAAATACTGTTTGCTTACCATTGAAAATTACCTAGGGCCACCTCTGGGTATGTGTGATTTCCAGGAAACAAAGGGGGTCCACCCATAAATATTGGAGAAAGTATACTGTTTAACCACCTGATATCTGTCATGATATCAGCCAGTAATGAAAGGACCAAGGCATTGACTTCCTTGGCCCATCCTCTATTCGGTTATCAGCTAGCATGCCAACATCTTAAATCAAGAAATAGCTTCCTAATATCTACAGAGATACTTGCAGGAACACCTCTGCAAATGAGAGTCCAAAAGTGGCAGGCTAAAACCCAGCACCTCAATCAGTGACCAAGACCAGATGAAAAACTCCCTCTTGGGCACACAGAAGACTCGGCAACTTGGACTATGCTCTGGCATCACGAGATGTAGAGCTAACCATAAGAAATGGGGCTACAAAGTGGAATCCATGACATGTGAGTGTGGAGAAGAGAAAACCACAGACCACTGACTACAATGCAGTCTAAGCCCTGCCACATGCACAATGGGACCTTCTTACAGCGACAGCAGAGCCACTCCAAGTGGCCAGCTACTAATCAAAGGAAATTTTTTAAAGTATTGCTTGTTGCTTTAGGGGTGCTGGTCAGTCCACCACCATGTGCGTGAAAATGTGGCCAAATGCCTCCCTTCCTGAGAATTCAACTAGAATTCAAGTGCAAAAATTGAATGTGTATATGTGTAGAATACGTGGAAGACGTATTCTACACATTCATAAACACACTAGATGTGATTTCTAACCCAACTTTTTGGCAGGACAGTAGAGAACCACTGTGGTGTAATGGAGATCAAGGTGCAAACCCCCAATTCGTCACAGAAACCCACTGAAAGATTGTAGGCAAGATTTTACACTATACATCTCTTTATTATATTTTGAACAATATACACAAAACAAAACTGCATGAAGCTATAATCAAAAATAGAAAAAAGCAATGACTAATCTACTCCCACCCTCACCAACAGAAGAAAGAACATGTCAGAAGTTGTTCTCCCTTCCTCCAAACACAAAACTTTGGAGTAAAGGTGTTATAAGTTTCTCATAGCTGCTCAACATTTCAACTATAATCCAAAAAAGGATACATACATTCTTGTGCTATCTGAGTTATAGTAATTATTTCTATATATGCAGCTTGTCATACAAATCAGCATATGCAAAAGAAAGAAAGAAAGGAAAACAGTGTCCTCTTGTGGGGTGGAAATGACACATTTCCTCTGCTTATACCACATGAACACAGCTCCCTTAAACCTTGTTGTTGTTTTGAGTCTTCAAATCATTTTTGACTTAAGGCAAACCTATCATGGTGTTTTATTCACAATATTTATTCAGAGGGAGTTGTCTTTGCCTGCCTTCGAGAAGCTAAGGAAGTGAGGATTTGGTCAAAGTTAACACAGTGGTTTCCATGACTGATCAGAGATTTGAACCCCGCTCATCAGAGTAATATCCTTCCCTCCAATGAGCAGTTGGGTTTTATTTCCTATCCATACTTCAGGAAATAAAGCCTGACTGCTCATTGGAGGGAAGGATACTAGAGGCCAAGATGAAGTACTTTGGCCACATCAGGAGAAGACAGGAAAGCTTAGATAAAACAATGATGCTGGAGAAAATGGAAGGAAAAAGGAAGAGGGCAAGATGGATGGATGGTATTCTTGAAGTGACTGGCTTGACTTTGAAGGAGCTTTGGGTGGAGATGGCCAACAGGGAGCTCTGGCGTGGGCTGGTCCATGAGGTCACGAAGAGTCGGAAGCGACTGAATGAATGAACAACAACATCAGAGTAATAGTTCAATGCTCAAACCACCACCATGGCAGCTCTCTACTATCATTAAAAAAAAAAGAGGAAGAATAAAAATTAAACTAATTCTGAAGGGTAGGTATGGAAGTGGAATAGATAACACTTTGTTTGGCTGCATCTATTCTGTGGAATGAATGCAGTTTAACACCACTTTAACTGCCATGACTTGATGTGATGCAATCAGGGGAATTATAGTCCTAGGACCTCATCACACTGACCCAATAAAGCGTCCTAGGATGCTTCCAGCCTGCTTCAGGGATAGAGCCTCACACCTGCCATCACAAGATGTCCTTTGACTTCTGGCAGAGGTGGAAGAGCCCTTGGGCCCCCCAACTGGGGTGGAAGAGTCCTTCCCTCCAAACACGGGAGCCTTCCTGTGTTGTAGTGGCTGCAATGCAGCCAGCACACTTCTGCCCAGTTTGGGTGACACTCCCCCTGTTTGATGGGGAAAGCATCGCCATGCCGAAGTGGTGCATGGATTGCTAGAGTTGCCCCTTATGCCTGCCGTTTTGCCACACTTGCTGACAAAATAGCACGGGGGGACTCCCCCATGTGATGAGATCATAGGGCTTCACTCTTCTCTGCCAAAGACTGCTGGTACTTCATCAAACTACAACTCCAATGCTTCTCTAAGATTGATCAAGGACCATTAAAGGCTGGCTCTACACTGCCATATAATCTAGTTTATCAAATCAGATAATTCACATTATCTGCTTTGAACTGGATTATAGGAGTCTACACTGTCACATAATCCATTTCAAAGCAGATTATCTGGATTTTATATGGCAGTGTAGATCCAACCAAAGTGATGTCAAACTGCATTTATTCGACAGTGTCAATGTACTTCTTGTCTTGGGCAATTTCCACTGTCCTATATCTCAGGATCTGATCCCAGATTATTTGCTTTGAACTGGATTATTTGAGACTACACTTTCAGATAATCTTAGATAAGCAGATAATCTGGGATCAGATCATGGGATATAGAGCAAAGTAGATCCATTCTAGATTTTGCGAAGCCCCTTCCACACCGTCCTATATCCCATGATCTGATCCCAGATTATCTGCTTATCTAAGACTAGCTGTCCTCTGCCATGCATTGCTGTGGGCCAGTGTGTATATATGCTTTGTGTGTGTGTGTTTACACATGCGCAAAACCATATATATGGTTTTGCGCATGTGTTGTAATGTTTTTTTTAAAAAAAATGCTTTTTAAGTCTCCTGTGTTTCAGTGTTTCTACGAGTGATGGTCACTTGTTGGCCTGATACGTGTATTGTGTCCAAATTTGGTGTCAATTCATCCAGTGGTTTTTGAGTTATGTTAATCCCACAAACATTACATTTTTATTTATATAGATTATCTGGCAGTGTAGACTCATATCATTCAGTTCAAGGCAGATATTCTGGGATCAGATCCTGGGATATAGGGCAGTGTAGATTCAGCCTTACTTCCCCCCCGCCCCCTCTCTTACTTTTGAATTATAGCTTGCAACATCCTTGGGGCAGGAAGCCTGCTACTTAAATTCTATATTTGTTTAAATTGCTATCTTTTCATGCTGCCTTTCCTTCAATGAGCAAAAATCACTGTACATTGTCTTTTCCACTTTATCCACACAGCAATCCTGTGAGGCTGGTCAGGCTGAAAAAAACTTTTATGGAAACAGGATTTTAAAACAGTCACTTTTTAAGGATTTTTTTTTTGCTTGCATTGGATTCCAGCAACTTGAAGAGATCCTATGGACTATCTAGTCCAGCAAGGTGGTTGGGCTAGATGACCCATTGGATCCCTTCAACCTTGTTGGTTCTAGAAAGAGTTCTGTTATGTTTTCTAGTAGAGGAGACTCACTTTATTTTTTGTGGCACAGGTTTACCACCTTAGTCTTTTGGAATGCTGTGCTGGGAAGCTATGAGTCACAGAGAAGGCCACTTGGCATAAGCTGCTGGGAGGGTCAGAGTCCTTATAATACCTACTTATAGTAGGAGGCAACTCACAAGGAACACAAGCCTTCTCGAGGGATACAACAATACGTGAGTATGCCTCATTCACCGCTTCATTTATTATTAGAATTGGGAAGATGCCTGGAAAAGCAACCATAATGTAACCTTATATGGGAGGGGGGCCTGTTTGCTAAATTCTAAACTATTCATTTGGGCTTGGCTGTTTTTGAACCAGGGCAAAAAAGTTGTTAAAGTAGGAAAGAAATCTTCCAAGTGACTTTTGCGGCAACAGTCTGAAGATGTAGAGACATTAAGCCATCCTAAAAGGTAGTGGCAGACAAATGCAAACTCTTACATAGAGGGCAGCTTTGTTTATAAAACTTTTTGAAACCAGAAAAAGAAATTAAAGACTGATACAAGTTTCCTGTTGATATTTCAGAATAAGTCAAAACTGACCATCAGAGTTTACATGAGAAGAGACTATTATTATTATTATTATTATTATTATTATTATTATTATTATTATTATTATTTACATTGTGGTTTTATTCTTGCCATCCCAATACATCCCCTTTGTCTCGCTGTTTAGATTATGGATGTGCTCTTTCTGCTTTATCTATAAAGGGAAACATCTTCACAAAGTTCAGATCTAAGATCTTTTTTATACCCAGGACATGGTAATGTTTGTGAATGTAAATATAGGAACGTGTACCTCGCCAACTTTTGTCTCCTCTTGCTCTTAATGTGTTGTTACTCTTTTCTAATTCATTTTTGCTTTGGTTTCAACTGTGATGAAGGGAAACAGTGAACAAAAACATTATCATTACAACAAAGCAAAGTCCAATAGTGATTTCACAATTATAAGCAGCTTATTTTCATTAACTATTTGTTTGGTTGGTGGAGGGTAAAAAGGACCGTGAGTGTGTGTGCATGTGATATTTTTAAGATGACAACTTCCAGCATTTAGTTAGTGGTCACTAGTATATCTAGCATGCTCCCGGATTATCTGCTCTGAACTGGATTATATGAGTTTTTTACTTAGGCGATCCCTCCTTGTCCAAGTAGGATGGTCTTCCAGGATCAGTGTACTGGTGGTGGGTCCGTAGGTGACTGTGGAGCCCTATTCTTGATCTGCATCTTCTCCCACAGTGAGGGCATTGTTTTCCAGGCGGAAGGCGGTCCTGTCAGGGTTGGCTTGATCCGCTTTCTTCTTGGCACGTTTCTCTCTTTCACCCTCCATTTGTGCCTTTTCAAATTCTACAGCACTGCTGGCCACAGCTGACCTCCAGTTAGAGCTCTCATGCGCCAGGGCTTCCCAGTTCTCAGTGTCTATGCCAGAGTTTGAAAGGTTGGCTTTGAGCCCATTTTAAAATCTCTTTTCTTGTCCACCAATATTCCATTTTCTATTCTTGAGTTCGGAATGGAGCAACTGCTTTGGGAAACAGTGGTCGGGCATCCAGACAACGTGGCCAGTCCAGCGGAGTTGATGGTGGAGGACCATCGCTTCAATGCTGGTGGTATTTGCTTCTTCCAGCACGCTGACATTTGTCTGCTTGTCTACCCAAGAGATTTGCAGGATTTTCCGGAGGTAGCGCTGATGGAATCATTCCAAGAGTTGCATGTGACGTCTGTAGACAGTCTATGTCTCGCAGGCATATATCAGGATTAGGAGGACAATAGTTTTATAAACAAGCACCTTGGTATCTCTACCCATGTCCCGGTCTTCAAACACTCACTGTCAGATAATCTTCGATAACGTCCTGGGCAGACCCGTAGCCAGGATTTTGATTCGGGGGGGGGGCAGTTTGTTTCGGGGGGTGAGTCTGAGTGAAAGAGGGTCTACCCTAGCAAACCTTTTGTATCATTACACCAATACCCCCATGCATATGGGATATATTGAGTATGGTGATCAGATCATGATATGAATAAACATAACAGTTTAAATAATGCACCAGTAAGGCCTTTTCGAGAACCACCATGAGAATTTGGGGGGGGGGGCTGAAGCCCCTCAAGCCCCCCCCTCCCCCGGCTACATGCTTGGTCCTGGGATATAGGGTTGTGTAGTTCCAGCCTATCACAGGGTAAGATTTGTTCAGAGAGATATTTGGTTTCCACTGAGGCTGAGCGAGTGCAATTTGCACAAGGATTTTGGATGCCACCTTGGGCCTCACTTTGGAAGAAAGGTGACATATAAATTCAAAATATACATAAAATAAAGTAAGGTCTCCCAGTGACTTTCCATTGCTAAGCAGGGATTTGAACCTTGGCCTCCAAAGTCAATAGCCCAATGCACAAATTTCTACACAGTGTAGTATGTGTCTTCAAGTCTCTTCTTGACTTATACCAACCACATGACTTTCTAAGGCAAGCAATAATCAGAAGTGGTTTTGCCAGTTCCTTCCTCTGAAATATTTGTTTGTGGTCTCCCCTCCAAAATATTTGTACTAAGTAAGGTTGACTTTGTTTAGCTTCCAACACAATCTTGTGCCTTTAGGGTATTTAAGGCCTCTCATATTCAGAGTCCTGAGTATGTATTAAGAATAGCATCCTAACCATGGTGCCATAGTGGGAATGAGAGAAAGTGCCTTCTCCGTGGCTGCCCCCCACCTCTGGAACTCCTTTTCTAAGGAATTAAAGATGGTCCCCTCCCTCTCCACCTTCAAGAAACAGCTGAAGATGTACCTCTGCTCACTAGGTTATGAGAAGGAGGAATAGATGGTAATACTACCATTATACCTCTGATTAATAGCTGCCATCCATATCCGTGCCCTGTTCACCCCACTAGCTCAATACACATCTTGAGCAATGATCAATCTTATTTGCCCCCAAGGAACTGGGAAATTGACGCTTCTGTTTGATGTTTTGTTTCATGTCTGATATAATAGGTTGCATTTTCATTTATTTTTTAGTTTTATAATTTAATCTTTTATTAAAGTTTTTCATTTAATTTTGTTGTTAAGTTATAATTTGCTGGGTCATCAATTTTTGTTATTATGGGTGTATTGTTATTATGTCCAGGCATTGAATGTTTGCCTTTTTAGGTTTCGCATCCACCCTGAGATAAGGTGGAATATAAATATATTATTATTATTATTATTATTATTATTATTATTATTATTATTATTATAGTTTGAAGTGTGATTTTCGAATCCCTCCTCAATGAAAGCCCACTGGGCAAGTCTTACAGGCTAGATCTACACTGTCCTATATTCAAGGATCTGATCCCAGATTATCTGCTTTGAACTGGGCTATATGAGGCTGGATCTACACTGTCCTATATCCCAGGATCTGATTCCAGATTATCTGCTTTGAACTGGGCTATATGAGGCTGAATCTACATTGTCCTATATCCCAGGATCTGATCCCAGATTATCTGTTTATCCTAGATTATATGCCAGTGGAGACTCACAGAATCCAGTTCAAAGGAGTTCAGATCCTGGGATATCGGGCAGTGTAGATAACAACAACAACAACAACAACTTTATTTTTGTATCCCTCCTCTATCTCCCCAAAGGGACTTGGGGCGGCTTACATAGCGACAAGCCCAATCAACATAGTTAAAATATCCATCCTCAGAAATGACAAACTATTCTAACTACTTGACATTGATGCCTGGAGGGAATAAGGATGGCTGTTGTTGGCTCTTCTCCCTAGGCTTCCATGAATCAGGTGGAAGGCTGCCAATGGAGAACCCTGACCAAGTGTGCCAGGAATAGAGTACAGCTTGCTGCTATTATTATTATTATTATTATTATTATTATTATTATTATTATTATTATTTTACTATTATTTTACCGACACAAAGCCACAGTATGTCACAGCAAACGAGATCAATATGCTGGATTTCGTATCAAAAAATCACCATTCGAACACTTCCCAAGCGTCTCGGACTGTGTGATGTATTATATTATTACTATTATTGCTATTATTATTAGTTCACTTTTTTCCAGGGTTGGGATGCAAAGTGGTTAACCACTTTAAAGGCATCATAGTGAAAAACATATGATAGGCAAACATTAAAGTAAAAGTAAATTAATCCAATTAAAGCTATTCGTTTAAAATACAATTATAACATAAATTACAAAGCTGTTAAAAACAATTGAACTTAAGCAATGTTTTGGATCTGCTGCCTGCAAAGCCACAGAACTATATATTTACCAGGACATCATTTAAGCCCTGAGACCAAAATAGGCAATTTCCCACTGTTCTCACTCATTAACCACTTTAAAGGCACCGTAGTGAAAAAATACAATAGGCAAATATTAAAGTAAAATTAAATTAATCCAATTATTAAAACTATTCATTTAAAATACAATTATAACATAAATTACAAGGCTGTTAAAAACAATTGAACTAAAGCAATGTTTTGGATCCGCTGTCTGCAAAGCCACAGAACTATATATTTACCAGGTCATCATTTAAGCCCTGGGACCAAAATAGGCAATTTCCTGTTGTTCTCAATAATTTGTGAATGCAAAAATCCCCTTTGCTAAAAAAAAATCAGGCGAAGAGGGCCTCTCCCATCCACACATTTTAGTTGGAATACAACTTCTCTGCTCTTTCCCACATTTTTGTAATTATTATGCTGGTTGTGAATGTTGATTTTTATCCTCCATGTTCCGGCGTCGCAAAAACATCTTGATAGTAAACGATCCGCTAGATGAATTTATCTAGTGCCTCGGGAGTTTATGGGAGAACTCTGACTAACCATATGGTGAAGTACCGGCCCTCAAAAAGGAAAATCCATTTTTAGAAGAAGCCATGTGTGGGCAAAGTGCTTGGATCAGGATGGCAGGAGGTGTCACCCTTGTGATTTTGTACCCGACAAGCAAACGCCCAAGGAAGTCGCAATCATGTCGGAGATTGTTATGGTAATGAGCAGCTGCCTGTCAGAAATTTGAAATGATGCATTGGCACAAGCATGATCCTCTGGTAAACATCCCATTTTATTTAGAGGCACATAGAGATGTGAAAGGTAGCTGGATCACTATTTGAGTCTCGTAACCACAAAGTAGCATGGTGGTATGTTCTGCTAGCATACTTTTCACCAGATGACTTCTGACACTTAGATAAGGTTTGCACATTCGAGT